CCCCCCCAATCCACTCTTCTGCATACACACACGCTCTCAGGAGGAGCTGGCGGAGCTGCGGGCAAGAGCGAGTGCGAGTGCCGCTGCCGCTGCCCAGCCACCGAAGGACGACGGCGCGCCGATCAAGGAAATGGTAGGCTGAGAGGAGGCCATCCGTCCCTCCATCAGACGGACCATGTGTGTGTGTGTGTGTGTTTAGGAGGAGAGGCTGCTCGCTGCAGCCGAGGACATAGCGGCCAAGCAGCAGCAGATCGCCGCTCTCAAGTGACCCACCTTGACGGACAGACAGACAGACAGACACACACAGACAGACAGACACAGAGAGAGTGACAGACACACGAGTCCACACACACACACACACGTCTCTCCCTCTGTGTGTGTGTGTGTGTGCGTGTGTGTCAACAGGTCTGAGACGGCGACGTTGAAGCGCGACAAGGCGGCTTTGCTGATGAAGGCCAAAGAGAAAACCGCCGCACTGCAGACTAAAGTAAGAAACCCTCAAACCACCCACACACCACTCTCTCTCTCTCTCTGTGTGTGTGTGTGTGTAGGTCGATGAGCTCCAGGCTGAGCACAGTGCCGTCAAGGAGCAGCTGAGAGAGAGGGAAGAGAGCGGCGAGAAGCTCGCCTCGCAGAATAGCAAATTCAAGGGCCTCATCTCGCAGGTCAGCTCACACACACACACACACACACATCGCTGAGCTGAGCTGCCTTTGTGTGTGGGAATCTCTCTCTCTCTCTCTCTGTGTGTGTGTGTGTGTTTAGGCGAATGGCCGCATGGAAGAGCAGAACAGGCGCATCGCAGAGCTGCAGGCAGACCTCACACACAAAGAGGCACGCACCCACACACCAAACCACACACACACACGCCCAGAACCACCTGTGTGTGTCATGCGCACCTCAGGAGCAGCACTCCGTGGTCTCTCAGCAGTGCTCCCGTCTCCGTCAGCACTTCACCAGCGCCCCCTCCTTCGACGGTTTCCAGGAGCGGGGCGGCTGGGACAGGGCCGTCACGGTCATGGTCGAGGGGGAGGTCTGGTGCTGCATACCGCCACCGCCACCACCACCACCACAACAGTCGCCACAGTCACAGGCACCTCTCGCTGGTGCTTCTGCTGATGGTGCTGCTGAGGGTGGTACGCGCGCGCACACACACACAGAGAGAGAGAGAGAGAGAGTGTGTGTGTGTGTGCGTGTGTGTGTGCAGCTGAGGAGAGCGAGAAGGACAAGGTGGAGGTAGAGGGCGGTGAGAAAGGTACTGAGGCGGAGGTGCTGCCGTGGGTGTGGTGGTGGCCGGTGTCCGCCCTGCCGCCCGAGTTGCCCCTCCCACCACCTCTGCAGCCGGGACACGCCGACGAGGTAAAACACACACACACACAGAGAGAGAGAGAGTGTGTGTGTGTTGTGTTATGGTGCTAAGGCGGTCTCTCTGCGAGCCCGGCTGAGTGAGCGTGACGCCGCTTTGGAGGCCATGAAGGCCGAGCTCGAGCACACTAAGAAGGAGTACGACCTCTACCGCATAAAGGTCACCTCAACACCCCTCCCCCCTCCCTCCCTCCCTCATGTGTGTGTGTGTGTGTGTGTGTGGATGTCTGTGCATGGGATGGCAGGCCAACACGGCTTTGAAGAACTCGGCCTCTTATCTGGAGCAGCTCACGGGCAAAGAGGAGCAGGAGAAGACGCTGACGTCGCAGCTCAACACTCTGGTAGGCAGTGGCCCTTCCCCCACCCACCGAAAGGCCACACACACAGGGCCAGAGAGCCTCCCATTCCCTCTCTCTATCTCTCTCTCTCTCTCTCTCTGTCTGTGTATGTGTGTGTGTGTGGCTCTGTGCAGAAGCAGGAGCTGCAAAAGGCCAACCAGGGCAAAGTAGAGATGGGCCAGCAGCTCAACAAGCTCGAGCGCTCCCTCGGCGAGCAGGCTGCCATCAGGTCGCAGCTGGAGGGCACCCTGGCGACCTTCAGGATGGAGGCCGCCAAGAGGCAGGAGCAGAGCGAGATGGCCCTGAGAGAGGGGTTCAAACAGGTGAGGGACAGACACAGAGGACACAGAGGATGTGTGGTGAAGGGGGCTTATGCGTGTGTGTGTGTGTGCAGGAGTTGGAAGACGCGGAGGCCAAGTGGCTGGCGGAACAGGGCGAAAAGGTGCGTCAGCCGCCTCCCCTTAAGACACACACACCTCTCTCTGTGTCTCCCTCTCTGTCTCCCCGTGTGTGTGTATGTGTGTGTGTGTTCAGAGGGCCGAGCTGCAGCTGACCGTCCAGCAGCAGCTGGAGCGCATCCACCAGGTCACCCATGCCGCTCCACCCACAGCCCTCCCACCCACTCCCATCTCTATCTGTGTCTCTGTCTCGTCAGTTGCAAGGCGAGCTGAAGATCGAGTCGACTCGCGCCGCAGAGCTGGCGCAGAAACTAGAGTCGGCCACCAACACTGTCCAGCCCCCACCGTCGTCACCAGCACCACCAGCAGCACAACTGCCGCCTCTCGCCACACACCACCAGCAGCAGCAGCAGCAGCAGGGTACCCACACACACACACACAGAGAGAGAGAGGGGGGGAGGGGCAGAAAGAGATCTTCCCTTCCTGTGTGTCCGTGTCTGTGTCTGCCTGTAGGCGGCGATCACGAGCACCACCACCACCACCCTGCAGACAGCGAGGGCGTGGCAGTGGGGCTGGGGCTGGGAGAGATGGAGGACGAGATGGACGAGGCGTCGTCGCTGTTCCGCTCCTCACCCACACTCGGCGGGGGCTGGCGGCGGGCGGGGTCACACTATGAGGGAAGTGTGATAGGCACTGCGGTAACCTGGAAGCGGGCCACACACACACACACACACACGCAAATGCCCCTCTCCCTCTCTCCCTCTGTCTGTGTGTGTGTGCAGACGGCGTGGGATGACGTCCACAAGCTGCGGCAGCGGGTGCGGCAGCTGGAGTCGTCACTCGTCGAGGAGCGCCAGCAGAACTCACTGATCACCAAACAAGTACAGCCACCCTCCCTCTCACAGAGAGAGCGAGAAACGCCTCCCTCTCCCTCCCTCTCCCTCTCTCTCTCTGTGTGTGTGTGTGTGTGTGTCAGATTGCCCATTTGAAGCACGAGCTGCGGGCCGCGGAGGCGACAAAGTCGGTGACGGAGCTGGGCAACCAGAAGACGCCAATGGAGTACCTCAAGAACATCCTCAAGAGCTTCCTGGAGACCGATTTGCCCGGGTGGGTCTATCGCTCGTTGGGGCGGTGGGGCGGTGGGGCGTCATGTCATGCGGCCTGTCTGTCTCTGTGTGTGTGGATCGTTCGATCGGTCATTCATTCAGGGGCGCCGAGCACGAGAGTCTGGTGCCCGTGCTGCTGACTCTGCTGCACTTCCCCCAGTACGCCATACCTAACTAACACGCAGATTAACCGCCGTATCCACCTGTCTGTGTGTGTGTGTGTGTGTGTGTGCAGGGAGGAGGCGCAGCAGATCACCGAGAAGCGGCAGAAGCTCCGGTCGCAGTCGTCGCTCCCATTCACCATCCCGATGACGCTGGGCGGACTGATGGGGGGCGGTGGCGGTGGCAAGACTTGAGTGTTGTGTCTTGATGGACCGAGGGATGGCTGGCGGAAGAATGGATAATCAAAGGTGGATAATTCGCAACTGCGTCCCAGCGTGTGTGGGGCGTGTGTGTTTTGACCGACCGATGAATGGATCTATGTGTCTGTGTGTGGTCGGCCGATCACCGCTTCAACATGTACATGCTTTCGTCCGCTGCATTGCCCCCCTCTCTCTCCCCGCCTCCCTCTCCTCTCTCTCTCTCTCTCTCTCGGGATTCATCGGAACTGTCAACGACTCAGCCGCGCAGTACTCGGCAGTACTTGCCCGACTGAAGTTCTTGGATCTTGTGTGGGAAGGTCCCCTTTTTGTCCTGCATCGAGTGGTTGTGGCTGCACCCCCAGTGGAGCTTGTAGAGGTCCCGGTCGACGCAGTGGCCGTTGGCGCCGGCTGGCCCGTCCTCTGGGTCCTTGCTGTCGAGGACGCACACGCGATCCTTCTCTGGGCAGCCAATCACTTGGAGGTGGCCCCCTTTTTCTCGGTTTTTCCGCTGGACGCGGCACGTCATCGCGTTCCGGTCGGGCCCCTCAACGGCGGAGAGGGAACCTGACAACACCACGCACGTAGCAGCTGGGGCCTTCGCTTTGGCTCTTTTCAGCAACTTCCCGTGGCTGAGTCGCTCTCGCTCACCGGCCTCTGAGAGGAAGGCAGGTTCCGGCTGCTCCCCGGCTTCCTTGGCGATGGCGGCACCGGCCTCTCCCTCGGCGATGAGATCCATCTGCTGCTGGGCGGTGTCGAGGGTGGCCAGGGCGGTGCTGGCCAGCTGGTGGGCCGCCTCGCTGACCTTATTGGCCAACTCCACCATGGTCTTGGCGTGCTGCAGCTGCTCCTGCTGCACGAGCGACAGCTGCTGCACGAGCGACAGCTGATGCTGGCCGCCGGACGCCCCAGACCACACACTGTGAAGGGCCGTCGTGGCCGTGGTGGCGGTTCCGGTCAGCTCATGGCCAGCGGTGACGGACAACTCAGGCAGAGACGGCAGAGACGGCAGCCCCCCTACATGCTCACACGCACAACGGACCAGTGAGTGGCGCCACACAAACTTTCACACACACAGGTAGAGGCTAGCTCACCGCTCGTCTGCTGAGAGGAGACGGCGCCGAGACAGACGGCGAGAAGCAACAGGCGGATCATGGCTGGTTGGCACAACCGGGAGGGGATCAACCTTGGGATCGACGGAAAACCTTCCACACGCGGCTGCGTGGGCGGCTGTTGCTCAGGCAGGCAGGGGAAGCTCTGAGACAGGGTGGGGGCCAAATTGCGGCCAGGATCGGGACGCACCTGCTGTTCTCTCGTTTCAGCTTCGGTATGCGAGATCTGCGTCAGTCGTGTGTCGGACTCCTTGGTGCTGCTGATGGTGTTGGTGTGTCCGTTTATCTGGTCTAGGTGCGTGCTGGATGTTTATCAAGTGTTATCTAAATCTTGCAGTCTTGCATGACTTGGCTTGAGGAGTGCCGACTCGACATTTTCGCGTGTGCCAGCCACAAGTGAATCCGATGATTATGCTCGTTCGTGTCTGGCTGGTCGTTTCATTCAGGTGCACTCATTATTGCAGCTCATGATTGATGGAAAAATACCCACACAGAGCAGAGGGCAGGTCCATCCAGCTAATTAATTATTGCTGACTGAGCCACTCACCCACCCTGTCAGCTACAATGGGAGACACCCACTCGCAGCAGCGTGCTGTGCACCAAACATATCAACACCACACAGACAGACAAACAGACAGACAGACAGACCACTCTCTCTCTCTCACCCGAACCAACACGCTGCCAGAGGAAGAAGCCACACACAGACGATATGGCCAGTCAGTCAGTCAGTCAGTCAGCAGAAAGCCGCCCCGTCGACACTGATGACCTGCCCCGACACCCAGCCCATGCCTTCGCTGGCGAGGGCCACACAGAGGGCTGCGACCTCTCTCGCCTCGCCGATCCTCTTGAACGGCGATATGGCCTCCATCTGGCAGCGCATGACTTCAGGGAACATGCCTGCACACACCACACACAGAAAGAGCATCGCCCGCTTTCTCTCCCCCCTCCGTGTGTGTGTCTGCTTCTCACTCACCAGGCAGCACAGGTCCCTACACACACACACACACACACACACACTAGGCTGACCATCCGGCACCTTGGTGTGTGTGCACTTCTCACTCACCGGTGCGACGGCATTCACCCTGATGCCCTTGTCTCCCGCCTCCTTCGCGGCGCACTTCGTGAGCATGTTCTGCCAAACACAAACAAACACGGAGGGCAGCAGTGGTCGGCCTGACAAATGGCATATTTGTGTGCCTACGACGGCCGCCTTGGTTGCACAGTAACACGCCTGGTTGGCCAGCGGGTGCTGGCCAAGTACCGAGCTGTTGTTGATTATCACCCCGCCGTGACCCATGCGCTCGATGGCCTCCTGCATCGAGAAGAATGTACCTACACACACACACAATCACAATCAATATCACAATATCAGGCGTGGGCTGGCTGCTTGCTGACCCTTGACGTTGACGTCCATCATCATGTCATAGACCTTTTCCGGTGTGTCCTGAATCGGCCCGAAGCCAAGAGTGCCCGAGTTGTTCTGCAAGGAGAACGCATGGGTGTGGGTGTGGTGTGTGTCGGGATGGTCGTGTGTCGGGATGCTCGTACAAACACGACGTCGAGGCGACCGAACCGCGCGAACACCTACACACACACAGAGGGAGGGGGAGAGGGAGAGGGAGTGATGGCGCCAATCACTCATTCGGCTGTGCAGAGAGGCCATCTGACCTCGTCATATAGGCGGCGCACTTCACTGACGCGCGAGAGGTCGGCCTGGAAGATCGCCCCGCTCCCACCGGCCCTCACGACAGCATCGAGCGTCAGCTTAGCCTTTTCCTGACTGCCTGCAAGAAGGGAAATACAAACGCATCGATGAATGCAGGCAGACCTCTGGATGGCACCCCTCAGCTCACCTGAGTAGTGTATGGCCACTGTGTCGCCCTTCTCGGCGAATGCGACGGCAGCTGCATTGCCGATCCCACCACTGGCTCCAGTCACTGACAGACAGACGGACAGACACTCACTGATTCATTCAGACAGATGATCGGCTGCTCACCGAGCACCACATGAGGAGAGGGGAGCGGCACCACGCGTGTCGAGGAGGGAGGCGGCATGGCTGGACGGGATGGGTGGATCAGTCAGTGAACGGATGAATGAATGAATGAATCAATCAAGCAAATCAACCGCTTCGCTATCGTCTTGTGGTGACGCTGCGCTGTCTACGAGATGGAGAACGCAGCGCGAGCTCACGAGCAATCAATGAAGTTTCACGCCGATTTTAGAGCACCGAATCAAGCTGCGAGCACTGCCGCTGCTTCCCTCGCCGAGAGCAAGAAGATCATGAAGTGCTTCGCCGTCGCCTCGCTCCTGCTCATCGCAGCCGCCTACGGTACGGTAGAGAGAGAATGGCAACAGAAACACTCATTCATTGATCCGATTCTCTGGTTGCTTCGATGCTTGGCAACCAAATGTCACGCAGGCGATGAAACGGCCGCGTTCGTGCCCACCGCGCCTCTCAGGACGCCGGCTGCCTCTCGGCAGCCTGCTCTGCGAGCGCGGCAAACGCCACAGATGGCTGTGGAGGATCTCGTTGGCGTGTCTGTGGAGATCCCTTTCGTGTTCGACCCTCTGAACCTGGGGAAGGAGCAGAACCTCTACAAGTACAGGGCGATTGAGCTGAAGCACGGTGAGTGAGTGGAGTGGGGAGTGGGGGTGTGCCGCTGATTGTGGTGACTGTGGTGTTGCAGGTCGTCTTGCGATGCTTGCGGCGCTGGGGTACATCATCCAGCAGACGCCACTGCGGCTGCCGGACCCCCTGTTCCTTTCAGAGGACCTGCCGCTCAAGCAGGTGCGTCCGTCATTATCCGTCACACCCCTCACTGATGGGTGGATCAGTGTGCGGTGGTGTGTGTGCGGTGGTGTGTGTGTGTGTGTGTGTGTGTGCAGGTGGTGAAGGTGTGGCAAGAGCGGCCCGAGGCGCTGCTGCAGATCCTGGCGGCCGTCGTGGCCATCGAGCTGGGGCCCGGCAGGCAATCCCTCGAGAAGTGCGCACACGAGCCCACAATGAACGGCACATCAATGGCCGCCCCCATTGGGCACCTTTCGGGAATCGATTGCTCTGTGTGTGTGTGTGTGTGTGTGTGTGGTTGTCAGCGCGCCGGGCGATCTGGGCTTCGGTGCTCGGTTCATTCCCGAGGACGAGGAGGACTACGAGAAGCTGCAGCTGAAGGAGCTCAAGAACGGCCGCCTGGCGATGATCGCCATCACCGGCATGATCGTGCAGGAGCTCCTCTTCGGCACCAACCTGCTCAAGGAGAAGGTCGGAGAGTCACTCCTCTGAGTGATCGGTCGGCCGACGGGCCGAGAGAGAGGCGGGTATTCAGCAGCCAGCCCTATGACAATTTGCCCTCTGTGGCTGGCTGTTGATGGATGGATGGAGAGAGAGAGAGAGAGAGAGAGAGTCTGAGGAATGAAGTGGGCGCGTAGCGAGCTGAGCGGGCCAGCGACGAGGGTTTTTTACGCGTCTGTGCAGATTTTGCCTGCTCGTTCGATTGGGAATCTTGGACGGTGGACGGATGGATGGATGGATCCATAAGCGGAGTCCTGCCTGCCTATTCCAACAGACAGACAGACAGACAGACAGAAACACACACACACACAAACACACACACAGAGAGAGAGAGAGAGAGGCACATGCGCAGTGCACGCCCCCTCCCTCCCTCCCTCTCTGCACACACAGCCCAGCCCTGCGCACATCCGTGTGTGGCAAGGTGCCTGCCTGTCTGCTGCGCACTCCTGCACAACCGCATTCACGAAATTCGCAATCCACACTCACTCAAAGTCCGCCTCTCCCCTCCCTCTCTGCTGCCACAAGGAACCACTCAGCAGCTTAAAATGGCCTCCTCCCACACACTGACCACACCACACCTCCCTCCCTCAGTTGATGCCGAGTGTCACCCACACTTTTCCGTGGCGAGAGCGAGGGGATGAAAGACAGAGCGGTGTTCACCGCTTCGTGCATTATTCTATATTTCACGCAGACCTTTGCAAACGCTCACCTTTGCTGGCGCTGGTCGATGCAGTGGGCATTGACGATTCATTGAATTGATGTGATGTCTCATGTCTCATGTCTCAATCATTAAGAATCCAGTTGTGCAACGAAGAAGACGCTTCAGCCAGTTTTGAGGTGCCTGGTGTTACTGTTCGTTTGTAAAAGGTGCGTACAACAGGGAGGACACTCATCATGCACGCACACAGAGCTCTTGACCGTCCTTCCTTCCCTTGTCCATGCGTCCATGCATGTGCATGATTGAAAGCTGCTCAACCCTCGCTACAGCTTGGCGCTCGTGGTGGATTCCTCGGTGCAGAACTGCCCGTTGAGTGGGTTGCTATCAAGGTCCTCATCCTCGATCTTGTGTCTGCCGCCGCAGCGCTTGACCGCCTCCTCCACTGACACGCACGCGCCCTTGTGGCTCATCTTGTGAGGCTTGCCGAGCCCAGCTCCCTCTTGGCGCTTCTCGGGGCGCAGCACACACACTTTTGGGAGCGGGCAGTCCGAAACGTGCTCGCGGATGGTGGCGTGGGCCTCGACGTGCCAGCACTCGGCTGCAGGAGACGAACAAAGAACATGATACGTCGTGCACCATTGCAAGGTCTGTCTTTGTGTCTATCGCGTACGCACATGGCTGGGCGCTGGCATCCTTGTCAATGGCGTGGGCCGCCTTGCCGGCCGCGAGAGCGTGTGCGTGTCGGGCAACGCGGTTGGCAATGGCCTTGTTGCAATGGTTGAGGAGCTCGAGGCCTGTGGCATTCACTGACAGCACGGGGAGCGCCAATGCGATACAGAGGGATACCGCAATGAACGACTGCATCCTGGGGGGATCGGAATGGATGGCAGAAACTGGATCACAAAATCAGAATTCGCTCAGGCTGCCAGGCTGACACCCTATCGGTGAGACGCCCCCATCCTGTCGCCCCCACATACTGTGCCAGTGGGGGACGACGCGGAGCTGATTGCGAAGCAAGAGGGGATGTCATGAGGGTGGATGGGTGGATGGATGGATAGAAGTGTTCCATTGAAGTGTTTATGTGTAGTGCATGCATTGCGCTGGGGACACGTAAGGTTGAATCGACAATAACCTGTCTGCCTGGCTATGGATTCTATGGACTATCGTAATGTGATGCATTGCGTACCTGTCCATTTGCTTTATGCGCCACGTCAGGATGGTCAATTCATGAAACGAGTCCACCACACACCCAGGCCGATTCAACATGCCAAAATTGTCAGACACCAAACAGTCCACGCACACATGACTGACGCACCTCTCCATGCATCCCTCTCTCCCTCCCTCTCAGTCGATGCCGAGTGTCACCCACTGCCCCCGCTCGTCGATGCGGCCCAGCTGCTGCCACCCACCAAACTGACAGTCGGCATTACCCAAATGCTCGTTGAAGCCCTTGTTGATGGCCCCCTCCTCTATGCCGTGTCGGGCCGCCTCGTCCAGCCGGGCCCTCTGCACCACCTCACGCACACCCACACGGCCCCGTGTGTGGACCACCTGGTGTGGGCGGCTGTCGGCCCTAATGGCGAAGCACTGCAGCGGCACCCGCACCGTCACGCCGCCCACATTGGCCGTCCCGCCCACCACCTCCCTGTTGCTGCTCGCATACAGCGCCGACTTGACGGAGCGGTCGACGGCCGCACACACACGGCGGGCCATGTCGCTGTTGCGGATGCCGATCTTGGCAGTGATGGTCTCGTTGGCGGCGTGTTGGTCGAAGCACATGGCGGCGATGCGCCAGCCGATTGCCTCTGCCTCGTGTGGGCCGCATGAGAGGGGGGAGGGGGCAGGGTCTTCGCCGTCATTGTGATCAACGAGCGGCAGCAAGTGGGTCATCAGGGCAGCCAGCGACCGCTGAGGGGCGAGGGCGGCGTTGAGGGCCGCCATCGCCCCAGTGTGGATGTCCGTGTTGAGCACTGTCGTGCACTGGGTCAGCACCAGCTGGCGGCAGCCGTGTCTTCCTCTGTGTCTGTGGGGATGCGGCCGATGTCCGCTCCGATTCTCAGCAAGCTGCGGATGGTCGCCTCGTAAAGGGGAATCTTGCTGGTGGCTCGGTCCCCGTCGTCCTGCGACACGGTGACGTCTTGCGAGAGCTCAAGCGATCGATAGATTCTGCGGGCGGCCACAACCAGGGGCGTCTCGCTGGGGTACCCCCGCCTGTCGTCTCTCTGTCGATGTCCGCTGCTGCCACATGGCGGCAGAGGTAGTCAGTCACACACGGAGAGCCGCACTCTATCGCCGAGTGCAGAGCCGTCCATCCAGACCCATTCACTGCCGTCAGACTGGCCCCCTTGTCCACCAGCAGGTCGAGATACGAATCGATGAAGGCCTGCGAATAGTGGCCTCGCTCGCTCCACGCCGCCTTCTGGATCAGAGTTTGACCGCCCCCAATTTGTTTGGTTGCGAGTGTGGGGTCGTGCTGGATGAGCCGGCGGTAGATCGACAGCAGCCGCTGCTCATAGCCGAGGGACACCTGATGGCCGACTCCGTCGAAGATGGTGGACGTGGGCAGCTCCATGATCAAGAACGGGCTTTGAAGGCGGCGCACCGCAGCACCGCGTGCCAATAAAACCCTCACAGCGTTCTCATTGGCACATTCGACAGCCACCCTGATGGGCCTGTTCACGTGGGCCGGCGGATTGACGTGGGCGCCTCCGTCGATGAGAGCGTTGATGATAGCCGCCTCCAGCTCAGCAGACGGCCACCGAGGTAGTGTGAGATGCCGCAGACGACCGTGGCTGTCGTCCACCTGGATAGTATGCAGGGTGCCGTCGCTGAGGTTGTCGACGGCGAGAGCGAGCAGCCGATACGACAGCGCAGCAATCGCACCCCGCACCCACGGGCAGGGCTCAGCATTGGGGTCAGCGCCATCGCGTATGAGCTGCGCCACTTGCTGCGGATCGGTGAAGGTCCGACGGACGATGCCCTCACTCAACTGTCTGGTCGGTATTGGCCGCAGACAGTCAACAGACTGCTGGCCTTGCGCAGTGCCAGAGGCCATCACTAACGCGACCTGCTGACACACATCACACTCAAACAGAGGATCACTTACGGTGTGCCTCCCCCTCTCCCTGTGTGAGTCCATTCGCACCTTATTAGTGAGTGTGTGATGCGTCGAGTGTCAGTATTCCTCGCCGTCAGTCAAGACAACACACACCGGCCGAGATCAGCGAAGGAGGCAGAACACGGGGAAGTGTCCTGCAAAGAGTTGCGTAACGCAGTGGTCAAGCGAGATATCGGCTAACGCACACCAAACACAAAGAGCCTTCACGGAACACGCAAGGGTCTTTTGTCCATCATGCCGGCCTTGACGTCAGCCCAGCAACACTCATCAACGCCATCATCATGCTAGAGGAGAGCCATCGAGAGACGAATTGACGTCTTGCAAAGCACACAGCTTCTGATCTTCTCCTGCCTGCCAGTGCCTGCTTCCCTTCCCTACCTTGAAGAAATTGTGTCAGAGATGAAGATGGTGGACTGTGATGGTGGAGGCAGTGCGAGTGGCACAGATCGACAACATCTCAAGCGCTGTCCATCATGCTTTTTTCTCGCCTCTACGGAGCTGTCTCATCTGCGAGCTCGACGATAAACAGCGATCGCTTGGGGGCAGCCCCGTCCATTGGCACACACACCAAAATGTCGGTTTCTGGGTCATCGGTCCTCCCGGAGGACTTCCAGAACATCCTAGACGACTATCGGCGCTCACAGGACAACCTTCGGACCGTGAATGAAGGCCGCAGCAGCGAACTTCAGGAGCGGCTGCAGGAAATGCGGGAGTCCCGGGATCAATACAAGGCGCAATGCGAAGAGCTGAAGGGCCAGGTGAAGTCGCTGACAACAGAAATGGCCAATCTCCGAGCAGAACTGCTGGTAAGAACCATCCCCATATGCCATGCAGAGCACGTTGCAGAGCGACCGGCTGGCTGCATGTACACATATGAGGGTGTCTTTCCTGCATCTGTATGTGTCTCACAGGCTGCCCGGCAAGCCAAGAGCGAGCCAGACCCTCTGGAGAACGTCACACGGCACTGGGAGGTCGACGGCCAGGCCGGCATCTACAAAGGGCAATGGCGGAACGAGAAGCCCCACGGCAAGGGCGTGCTGTGGTCTCTGGACGAGCAGACAAAGCGCTACGAGGGCGACTGGGTGGCAGGACACCTCCACGGCAAGGCCAAGTCTTTCTTCCATGACGGCAAACAGCAAGACTACGACGGCGAGTGGCAAAAGGGGATACGGCATGGAAAGGGGACTTTGTATTTGGGTGACGGAAAAAAGCGATACGAAGGCGAATGGGCCGCGGGGCAGTACAATGGCAAAGGCACGCTCTACTTCACTGACGGACACAAGGAATACGAAGGAGAATTCAAGAGTGGCTGCTTTAATCGAAGCGGAGAGCTCAACACAGTGTTTCATTATTATTATCCTGGGGGTCATCAGCCGATGCGCGACTTCAGGACCTTCAAAGGAGCCTTCACCAATGGCGACTTCCTCGGTGACGGAGACGTGAAGAACATGGCCTTCAATGACGGCACATATTCCGGACAAGTCCGCAATCACAAACCACATGGCAACGGGATGTGGAATCGCTGTGAGAAGACTGGGTCTGGACACGAGAGGTACAATGGTGCCTGGATTGACGGAGTCTATCATGGGCACGGCACAAAGAGGAATAAGGATGGCGTGCAAGTAAGCGACGTGTTTGCGAACGGAGAGTTTCTCGGTGATGGCGAATGTGTGGAACTGACGATCACTGGGCTGCCCAGCCCATATTACGCCGGCAAATACTCAGGACAGCTGAAAGACCACAAGCCGTGTGGAAATGGCCGATTTGTACAAAACTGCAATTCCTCGTTGGCCGAAATGATATACTCAGGTGAATGGAAAGGGGGCCTGCCGGACGGCAAGGGCAGCGGCAATGTCATTCAAGCAAGGAATCCTCCTGAGAGATACAAATATAACATCTACGTCTACAACTATCAGGGTGATTTCATAGCTGGGAAGCCAGCAGACGGCCCGGTGAATTTGCGTGCAACGAATTGTTGGAAAGGAGGCCATGTCAATGAAGCCAGATTTCACTTCGAAGGAGACATAAAAGATGGCGTGCTGTGGCAGGGGACAGAGACGTGTGGAGAGGGAAAGCACTCTGTGTACAATGGGGCTTTTGGCGCGTGGCAGAGACAGAGACAGTAGGTTCGTGTCGCGTTGGCTTTGTGTTTTGATGAGAATGACCCATTAAGAGACGTATGAGTCATTCGACGCTGTTTGCTTTCTCAATCAACTGCCCACATCTGCAGCCATCCGACTGGCGTGCATCAGTAGACACACCACAAACAGCAAATGCGGCATACACCTACGTGTGCATCCATGTCTCTCTGTGTGCCTTCGTCGCATATGCATGTGGCAAACACAGTAGACAAACCGGTACGGATAGACAAATAGAGAACCGAGCAACACAAATCTACAAATACTCAGCTCCCGCCATCACTGACGGGCGACACTGAGAAGCTTTGCCCCAGTGCTCGATGTAGAGACACAAATACCTAGCTAAATAGATGCGCACACCCACACATGGATCAAACCACACCCACAGGCGTCATATGAGCTACACAGGCATGCACATGCACATCAGTGCATCATGACATGGGGGATGGCTGGATCATTCACGCGAATCAGTCCAAGAACGACCCCGCACCAGGCCGTGTCCCGTCTTCACTTCGGCGGTCGCTCTCTTCACTCGATGGCACGTCAACTGCACACACACAAAGACAGGCGTAGACACACAAATAGGTGTGTGTGTTCGATGGCCTACATGAGAGCAGCACAGGTTCGCCCAGCAGATCTCCATTGGTCGGCACTGACACAAGGGTGAATGTCCCTGGCCCCTGCATACACAAATGACGTATACATGTGCTCATCACACGGTAGACACGCAAACGTGTGTACCTCATCCGTGACGGAGAATGGCGCAAATGTGGTCATCATGTCGCCGAATGCCGAGAAGGGGCTCACTTGCTCCACGTTGAAGGGCGAGCGGCCGCTGGGGTACTCGATGACCTCACCTGTCCACCCACCAATGGGGTGCGTCCATGTGTGTGTGTGTGTGTGCAGCCGCGTGTATACCATCTTCATCGAGTATGTCCATCTGCAGTGTCTCGACACACACGGCCGGGATGGCGATAAAGGTGAAGCTTACACCATCCTCAGCGGGCACCGAAAACGCCTTATACACACACATCCATCCATCCATCCATTCATCCAGTGTGGTGGGCAAGGGGGGCATACTGTGTCGTTGGTGAGCAGAGGAGACGCTGGGAGAATAGGCACGCCGCTGCCGGCGAGAGGGATGAACTGATGCCCGCTTATCTCGGGCTCAACACCTGCACCAACACACACATGTGCCATGTGTCCACGAGGGTGTGTGGGGCGCATGCGCATACACACACACACACACGTACGACAGACTGACCGTCACAAGCGTCCTCATCGGCACCGTCAGATATGGTGGGCGGCAGGTCTATCGGGAGCTCTGCACACACACACACACACACACGCACACACAGAGGGAGAGAGTGCATCGCCACGTCTGGGGGTCTGGGCGTGGTGGGATGGAAGGTTACCAGTTGTTGTCGATGTAGTGGTGGTAGGGGCCACTGTGCACACACACAGACACACACCTATGAGCATAAAACCTCGCACATGGTCCGTTCGCGTACCTGTTGTCGTCAACGCCTCAGTTGTCGTAGTCACTTCAGCTGACACACATGGCATTGCACACACTTCGACGCGCGCCGCGCCCAAATGAATAGATGGATGTGCTTACCAGTGGTGCTGGTGCTGCTGCTGGTTGTTGGCTCTTCTGTTGTGGTCGCTTCAGCTGACATTCGCGCAACGAACATTCCCTTGCACGTTCATGATGCTGCCAGTCTGTCTCGCTTACGAGTGGTCGTGGGCTCTTCTGTAGTTGTTGTGGTGGGCGAACCTGCACACACACACATCCGGCCATCCATCCATCCATCCATTCATCCAAGTATGCAGCTGCGTTGCGTGCCCACGTGTGGTGCTGGTAAGCGGCTCCTCTGTGGTTGTTGTGGCAATGGCCGCCTCTGTGCAGATCGGGTGTGATCACATACACATACAGATACACGTGAACAGGGAGGCTTGGCTCACTGACCGGGTGTGGATGTGGTGGGCTCCTCTGTGCTTGATGTGGTCGGCAGCTCTGCACTCACACACAAGCCCCCCACACACATGCATCCGTCAATGGAACACACACACAGATGCATTCCCGTGAACTCACCTGTTGTCTTGGTGCTGGGTTTCGGCTTTGGCCTCTTGCCCCTGTCCTTGCCAAAGCACACCCCCTTGTGTGGCAGCCCCTCAGCACCAGCAAGCAGCGGCAGACACACTGCCTTTTTGCTCTCTCCCTCTTCCTCCGCACCAACACCGCCACAGTCAAGGTCGCTCTCACACACACGCCCATCTGCACACTCAAGACACAGACACACAGACACAATGGCCCTTCCCTCCCTCTCTCCCTCCGTGTGTATGTGTGTGCATGGTACCAGTTAGCACAACCTCAGCCAGCGGCATCGGCAGCTGCCCAATCGCCGCAGCAAACGCGCCCAGCTCCCGCGCCACATCGGGTGAGCTCACCGGCCATCCAGACCCCTCGGAGCACAGCCCCACCGCCACCGACACGCCATTGACCAAACGCTGCTGCTTCGGGAGGTCCGGAAGGTCCTTGAGGCAGGTGCTCTGGTGGCGGCAGTCGGCGTCGGACAGGCAGAATTGGGAGCTGCATCGATGCGCATCGATTCGATGGGCGTCATGTGCATGTCTTTGGATTGATGGAGGCCTACCTTTGTGGCCGTGCTGGTGAGCCTGAGAGAGTCAGGGTGAGGGAGAGCGTGAGCAAAGCTGCAGACGATGCCAAGTCACAGCGCCACATCGCGAGGGCGTGTACGCGAGCTTTGACAGCCGTTGTAAATCCGTGTGCACGGGTTTTCAAGCTTTTCCGTTTGGAGCCAAATCATGCACACCACACGGATGACAGTCAATCTCATGCAGATGTGTCCGGCTGCAGCTGAATCGCAGAGAGGAAGCTGTGCAGACACAGAGAGAGAAGAACAGGGTGTGTGGTCGGCGACACACGACAATATGCACCTGTTGAGCACGGTGGCGCCGTCGGTGTCTTGCATTACGTCCGCCTCCACAGCGATGCTCTCCACACCGCTGCACACATAAATTCATATGTGTGTGCATCTCGGGTGTTGGTGTGTTGGGTGTCTGTCGGTGGGTGTACTGAACCTGTCGTTGATGCCTCTTGCGATACGGAAGTAGCCGTCCTCGCCCCACAACGGGCCCCACTGCGTGTATGTCGCAGACAGACAGACATGCACGTGAATGAAGGTGTCTGTGTGTTTCCATTCCTATGTGTGTGGCTGTGCTGTGGGTGTTTGCTGACCGAGTTCTGCAGTAGCCAAAATTTCTTGCCCTGACAGACACACAGAGGAGGAGAATGCGGCCATTAGTGTCTGTCTCCCTCTCTCTATGTGTCGCTGCAATACCGTGTGTTTGTCGGTGCCGTATCCGATGCAGAGGACGGCGTGGTCGACCCGCTCCCACTCAGAGTGCCGCTCGCTGGTCGATGTGTAGATGCCAGTACTACATGCCACATACGGACACACAGAGATCACACACCGAGGGTGTGTCCTTGTGTGTGTGGGAGGGGTGGAACGAGGGAAGGGCTTTCACTCACCTGTAGTACATGAGGTCCTGTTTGGGCTCCAGGCTCACGACGATCGGCCCCCTCTGCAGCGCCTCGATCATCGCACACTCACTCGACCGACCGTAGGACCTACACACACACACACACACACACACACACATGTCTGTGTGTATGGAGCGGGTGTATTGGTGGGTGGGCTGGCTTACCCGCCCACGTATCCGTAGTCGCGCACGCGCCATCGCTCGCCGACTTCTTTGGCAGAACACTGCAGGTCGCAGCCGCCTGCAACGACACGTACACACACGATGTGTGTCTGTGTGGGAGGGTGGGGTCAGGCAGTGCCTTGTGTGGTGTATGGGTAGCATCTTGCCGGCACCAAGCCGATGTCAGAGCTCCACTTGGAGGTCAGGAAGGCATAGCCGCCGCTGCAGCCCTGTGCGGTGGGCGGAGAAGATGCACACTCCCGCATGTGTGTCTCTCTGTGTGAGTGTGTGCGCACCTGGTTGTACTCGGAGCAGTAGAGAGGGAACGCAATGCTGAATGGCTCCGCCTACAGGGATGTAGAGAGAGACAGACATTCGAACAAACAGACAGGTACGTCTTACGTTTGGGTCTCGTGTGAGGATCTTCTTCCGAGCTGTGAGCATGCGCAGCGTCGCAACGGTGTAGCAAGAGCCGCAATCGCCCTATGTGAAGGCACCCAGCCATCCACCCACACCAACACCCACAGCCACAGCCACACACACTCACCTGATCGACGACCGGCTCGATGAAGCTGAGCCCGTCTTTGTCACGCCAGTCGAGGGACTCCGGGAAGCGCCCACCACACTAAGTCTGCGTGATCAGCCTGAGCAAATACACACACGCATGGGCACATGTCCACCGTCTCTGTCTGTGTGTGTGTGTGTGTGTGTGTCTGCATACGTGTGTTTGCTTGGCTCGTCGATAGAGCAGAGAGGAGAGCCGCGAGATCGCGTTGGCGCCAGGATGTCCCCTTCCCACTTGGATGAAGGACAGAATCTGGTCTGCACACACACACACACACGCATGCAGAGAGCCATCCATCCATCCATCCATATGGATCCACATGGATGTGCACACAGACATAGAAAGACGTACCAGTGTTAGTGTTGGTGTCGATATGGGTCTTGCGGCTCGTCTCTCTCATCTCTCCTGGCGGCCGATTCCTTCTGATTCCGGCCCTGTTTTCTGTGACACGTACACACACACGCGCCATTTCTGGGCTGCCTGCCTCTGCTTGTCCGCCTACCGGTCGTTTATTTCTCTCGGCGTGGATCCCGGCATGTGGGGGTAGAGCGTTGCAGACCTGACCACACACACACACGCGCGCGCGGGGAGGGAGGGGTGTGGGAATGGATGGATGAATTGATGCTCCGAACCAGTCTGTCTGGACTGTGTTGAGGCTCTCCACGTATCTCTCGTGTGTGGACAGGGCGAGCGGCGCGTCGTAGGCTGCAGAACGCTGCACAGAATAACACACACAGCGTTTGTTGACATTTTCTCTCTCCTTCTCTGGGTGGGGGTGTCTTAGCATACCATTGGCTGCTCTCTGGTCACTAGAATCAGGTTCTCCTTCTCTGGGCTCGCCTTCCTGCCGACGAAGCAGCCCCACTTCTCGCGATCAGCCGTGGTCTGCCAACCCACCTGATCGCAAGATACACAGACACGTAGCCATCTCTCTCCCTCCCTCCCTCCCTCCCTCTCTCTCTGAGTGCGCAAAAAGTTGGACGAGTGTACCAGTGTTTCGCCACAGTGTGAGACGTTGTAGGTGTGGCCGCCTATGTCGTGCAGGTCGAACCGCGAGAAGGCAAAGAAGCGCACAGCGGGAAAACGCACCTGCACGCACGAATGCGTTCATGTGCTGGGCTGGCCGATTGCGTGCGACAGTCACGAGCCCTCCCACCCTCCCAATCACCTCGAAGCCCTCGTCGTAGACCATTGTCCATTTGCCCTCGGTCAACGGCGGCAGCATTGACACATACGAAGACGGAACCTCTAAATGCACCCAGACCAACATTTGTGCGCAGAGTGTGTGTGTGGGCGGGGGAAATGTACCGTCGGCCACATGAGCTTTGGCTGCCTTGCCGAGGGACACCTGCACACACGACATGACATGACAGCATCCATCCATCCATCCATCCATGCATTCCAGGCACACCCTTATGTCTTGCAGGTTCTCTCGGCCGTATGTGTCTTGCAAGAAAGAGAGATAAGGCTCGCTGTCTTGCTGCCCATCGCCAAACACACACACGGACAGAGGGAGGGAGAGGAAGAGAGAGAGAGAGAGATGCGTCATATGCAATGAGTGGACCGGGCTCTCTATCTCTCTCTGCTTACACGGTCAGGTCTTCTGTGCCCGCAGCTCTGTCGCTCGCCGAGCAGCGGACTCACAGTGAACACCCAGTCGCCCTCTACCTGCACCCACACACACAAGACGTCACACAAGCACATGGACACCAGAAAAACTGCAGATCTGGTGCCTCAGACAATGGACAGGCAAGTCGGCATTGACGCGATGCACCGAAAGCAGCAGCAGCACCGGCACTAGCAGCAGGCTGAGCGACGCCGCCGTCAGCGGCATCATCTGCAGCACGAGCGACTGATGCATCTGATGGAATGGACGGACCCAAAACACAAGCAGACGCACGTGTGCACTTACGGGGAACGTTGTGGCGTTGATTTTCGGCTAAAACATGGAAAAAAGAGGAAGGACCGGCGCCGAATGTAAACACTGAGATCGTCGAAAAAGGTGAGATTGAAAAAGGTGAGATGGACACGTCTCGCACACCATGCTGCATGTGTCGTGTTTGATGTAGATCTGTTTGTCCCTTTGATGCATCTGTCCGTGTGATCTGTTCGTTCGTGATCTGTTCGTTCGTGATCTGTTCGTTCGTGATCTGTCGGAAGGGACTCCATCGCGTGTCTGACTGAATGACAAGAGATGAGAGAGTGAGCGTCGCCGCCACACACACCATGGACAACAGGTAGCTACCTACGCCTGCACGCAATCATCTGCCCGGATGAGGATGGTTCGCTCTCTGTGCGTGTGTGTGTCTTTGCAGCAGTAGCAGCAGTGAGGGAGAGAAATGGACCGACGTGTTTGGGCGAATGGCGCAGGAGGGCGAGTTTGACCACCTTCACCAAATGGCAGGTACACATACACACACGATCACTCTCTCTCCCTCTCTCTATGTGCGCATCTTTCACACGATCCATCACACAAACAGGGTGGAAGGACTTGGATGACCCGACTGTGTGGCACCTGTACGTCAAGGACACCATCGGCAGCACAAACATCCGCAGCGGCGACCGGGTGTTCGAGTGCGGCTGTGGCGTGGGCGCCTTCCTCTCGTGTGTCCAGAGCATCGTCCATGGGCTGCAACTGTCTGGTGGGCACACGGACAGACAGATGCATGAGTGGACGGACATGTGTGTGTGTGTGTGTGTGTAGGTGTGGATGCGTCGCAGTCGTGCATCGAGAGGGCGCGTGTGAACATCGCCGATGGGCACTTCATGGTCGGTGAGGCGATGGATAGATCAGCCAAGGCACGTTGCATCTCTCTCTCTCTCTCTCTGTGTGTGTGTGTGTGTGTGTGTGTGTTTGTTAGGTGGGCTTGCTGCCAGAGGCGACCAAAGAGATGCAGGAGGGCAGCTATGACGCTGTGGTACTCAGGCACATGACATGTGCGACGTACGTGTGTGTGTGTGTGTCTGTTCGTGTGTGTGAGAGTGTGTTGGGCTGTATTTCTGTCTGTCAGGTGTGCAACAGTGTGTTTCAGTACCTGCCTTCTCTCGATGTGGCCGAGACCGTCGTCAACGAGATGCTCAGGCACACACGCACACACACGCACACACACCCAGACGCACTCATGTGTCATTCTGTGATTGAGTTCAGGCTGTCCGCTCGGAGTGTCATCATAGCGGATGTGTGTGACACCGAGTACGAGGCCCTCACCACACGCCGGATGAAAGAGGTCTGGGGCGACAAGTACGGCCACTCCCTGCCGGCATACCTGCACATCGGTGCGCACACACAGACAGACAGCCAGCCATCAGTCCACCGGGGGGTGTGTGTGTGTGGTGCAGGGGAGGAGTGGTGGGGCCGTTTCGCCGCCAAGTGTGAAGCCATCACATTCCATCGCGTCAACGTGAGAAGCCAGCCACTCGTGTGTGTGTGTGTGTGAGTAGCCACCTTTCTGTGTGTGTCAGGTGGAGGCCTATGCGCGGCGGAAGGAGAGATACGTCGTCACCATGACCAAAAAGATGATAAAGGACACCTGACTGACGCACGGCATGAGAAAGAAGACACGGCAGAGGGCGTAGAGGGACTGAGGTTCTGATGGTCCACTTTGTGTCTGTGTCTGTGTCGATTGGAGTGTCTGTCCACACACCGACGCCACATTTTGCTGCTGCATTTTTGTCACTGCATTGACTTGTTGACGGCGGACTTTATAGTGAACGACGAGTATACATACATCGCTGTGTAGCTAGATGTCTGTCCGTTCCCCCGGTCCACCCACACCCACAAGCACTCCACGCAGATCCACATGCTCGTGCAACCAGGTGGCCGTGAGCTGCGTGGCAACCCACGGCCATGTAACATCAGTCTCACACACACACATCACGCACACCCCACACAGAGCGCGAAAATGACTGCGTCCATCCAAGATATATCCGTCTGTTCATCCCTCCCCGTGTGTGTGGGTGTGTGGACCTGCCGCGCACCCCAAGAAGCATCGCGTCTACGTGTGCATGTACCTGTGTGTGACCGGCCACGGGAAAAATAGCGCACACACACATGAGTGTGATGCGCGGAAGAATGCGTCGACATAATAGAGGGGAAAAACACAGCCGCAACAGCCACCGTGCAGGCAGACAAGACGTGCAGACAGCCGGCAGTCACACGCGCACATGGGCGTCTAATGGGCGGATCTACAAATCTAAAAAGGCATCTCTCTCTCTCTCTCTTGGTGTTGCGTTGCATTGCGTCGCGTGGGCAGTAGCCCTTTCACTCACACACAGGCAGACACAGACATACAGACACACAGATACAGACACAGGCATAGACGTAGAGAAGGAAACTGCACTGCACGGAGAGACCGAACCGAAAATCATCGAGAGAGAAGAAAAGACAAAGGACGACGTCCACACACGACGGCACTGTTCATCGTATCGCTCCAGCCACCCATCCAAGTGTGCTGTCGATGTGTGTGTGTGTGTGTGGGGTGTGTGGTGTTCACATGGCAGACGCATACAGCACCGAAGAGGGGAGGCCCAGCCCCTGACACACCCACACACCCACACACACAAGATGATCTGAGTGTCCCGCTCTGTCTCTCTTCTCTCTCTCTCTCTGTGTCTGTGTCTGTGTGGGTAGGGGCATGCACTGACCTGAGCCACCCTCTGGCCGTACTCGGCATCAGCGCGGGCGAAGACCTTCACCTGACGCTCCTGGATCTGCACACACACACACACACATCCATCCATCCACACACCAAAGCACAGAAAGTGGCCTCGTTCTCTCTCTCTCCCCCTCTTCCTCTCTCTGTTGTGTGTGTACCTCTCGCTTGGCGTTCTTGAGGTGGGAGACGATGTTGTCAATCAGATGGTCGCGGTCCTCGCGGGTCATCACCTGCACACACACACACACACACACATGAGCACACCACAATACGCCCTCCCCCTCTCTCTCTCTATGTGTGTGTGTGTGTGTGTGCGTGTGGGTGGCTGACTTTGCGATAGAGGTTGCCGGCCTGCTCGAAGTCGCTGTTGGGGTGCACCTGCACACAATGAACACGCACACACACGCGCATATTCTCAGACACACAGAGGATTGTGTGTGTGTGTGTGCATGTGTGTCTGGTGTCAGTGTGTGGCGTGCCTGAGGGTGTCTGCCCACAACGCCGCTGATGGCCTGGCTCGACATGGCGAAACTCTTGTCCTGCACCGGAGTGCCTGCACACACACACACACATGGTATGTGTGTGTGTGGAGCCTTCTCCCTCTCCCTCTCCCTCTCATCTCTCTCTCTGCGTGTGTGTCTGCGCCGACCATAAACGCTGTTCGGCTCATAGTTGGGCGAGCCGCCCTTGTTGCCATTGACACACATCGGGCCGTCACTGCACAGACACCGACACGCACACATATAGACACACACTGATGCCTGCGCATGCTGCCAGAGAGAAACGACGCGCCTCTCTGCTCTGCCCACTACCCACCGGGCGTTGTAGTCGTGCCTCGGGCAGTTCCACGCACTGTTGACCGGGATCTGGTCGTAGTTGGCACCTGCACACACCCACACACCCCCATGGCTCAACACAACACACACGGCTCAGCAGATGCACACACACGCACGCACCGAGTCTGTGTCGGTGAGTGTCCGAGTAGGAGAAGAGCCGCCCCTGCAGCATCTTGTCTTCGCTGGCCTCGATGCCCGGCACCAAGTGGGCGGGCGAAAAGGCAGACTGCTCGGTGTCCTGTGTGTTGATGGACACACACACACACACAGAGGGAAGGAGGAGTGCAATGTGTGTGTGGTGCTGGGTGGCTTGGCTTGCCTGGAAGTAGTTCTCGGGGTTGCGGTTGAGGACGAGCTTGCCGACGGGGATCAGGGGGTAGTCGCCGTGCGGCCACACCTGCACACACACACACACACACACTCTCTCCTTTTCTGTGTGTGTGTGTGTGTGTGTGGTAGGTTGCTCACCTTGGTGATGTCGAAGACGTTCCACTTGTAGGTGGCGGCCTCCCGCTGCGGCATGACCTGCACGAACATCGTCCACGACGGGAACTGACCATCTGCACAACAACCACACAGACACACACACACACATCCATTCATCGCTCTCTCTCTCTCTCTCTGTGTGTGTGTGCGCGTGGGAGGGGGGAGGATGGGGTCGGGTCACTCACTCTTGATGCTGTCGTGGAGGTCCCGTGTGGCATAGTCGGGATCGCCCCCTGCCAACGTCTGCACACACACACACACACAGATTCGATCGCGTCTTCTGTAGCACATTTCCTCATCTGCGCTGCGGACGGACGTACCCCGGCTTGCTGTCGCGTGAGGTTCTTGATCCCCTGGTCAGTCTTGAAGTGCATCTTGACATAGGACACCTCGCCGTCCTTGTTGACAAACTTGAACGTGTGGGAGCTGACAGACAGGTCGACAAACAAACGGCACGGCACAGAGAGGGATGGCTGGAGGGAGGGATGGCGCCCACACCACACCCACATCCACACACCTATAGCCGTTCATGTGTCGGTAGCCGTCGGGCGTGCCGCGGTCGCTGAAGAGGATCGTCACCTGGTGGATGCTCTCGGGAACCAGAGACAGGAAATCCCTGAGGCAATCAGTGGCAGGGGCACACACACACACACACACACGTGAATGGACATTTCTCTCTCTGTCTCTGTGCGTGTGGGAGTGGGGCTGCCGAGGTTCGCACCAGAACATGTCAGGGTTAGGAATGTTGGTCATGGGGCAGCGCTTCTGCGTGTGGATGAAGTCTGCACACACAACACACACACAAGCATCATCCCCATCCCCCACACTCTCAATCAGACGTCTCTCCGCTACTCACCGGGGAACTTGATGGGGTCGCGAATGAAGAAGACCGGCGTGTTGTTCCCCACCTGTTTGGCACACACACACCATACCCACACACACACACGCGTGTTGACATCGCACTGCAACGATCAGGTCAGATCCCCGCCCAGCCCACCATGTCCCAGTTGCCCTCCTCGGTGTAGAACTTGACCGCGAAGCCGCGGGGGTCGCGAGCTGTCGAATACACAAGGACACGCACACACACAGACGTCACAGTCTTGTGTGTGGCGGGGGGGGCGGCGGGGGGGGGGGGGGGGG